TTTAACCCTTTCATTCTTGATTTTAAACAATTCTTAGAGAAAAGGACTTGAAGGCACTTCCCTAGTTACATGTGCAGGTCTGGGGGAAACCAAGTGACTAGTGGTAGCTGTAAGTGGAGCTCCTTAGGGAAGGGGCAGACTGGGAAGGTCTGGGAGGAAATACAGTAGGGAGGTAACCAGCAGCAGTGAGGAACCACTTATGCAGTAGGGGGAGAAGTCTAGTAGGGCAGTTGTCTGGCCGGAAGACATTTAGCAGCTATAGACACATGGTGGCCATGCACAGTTGCATGAGATGCTGGCTGGCAGGAGGTGTTGGGTACACAGCCAGGCTAATAAGCTGATCTGTGAGCTGTTAATCATGTTCGGACTGTAGAGTTAAAGAATGCATTTTTCTATTTCTGCTAAAATGCAACTGGGGCCTGATTCTCCCTCAACCCCATGAAAAATACAAACTCCCATTGAAGTCAGTGAAAGCAGCAGGTGCTCAGCACATCTGAAAAGCAGGTCCTTGGCCCATGGAAGTGAAGAGTAAGTAAAATGTGCTGTCTTCCTGTTTTTTCAAGACTTTAATATTTCAACATTTAATACTCCAATTCAGATACTAAGTATGAAATCACATTTGTTAGATGTGCCCAATACCCATCCCATGTGGAGCCAATACTAACTTATGACATGGATCAAGTTGTGGGAAACATGATGTAGCTCATGGCACAGCTAGCTGAGACCTTGCCATTATGCAGCAATGAATATAAATGCCATGATTCCCAAGATGAGAAGGTTCAATTTCTGGGATATAAGGCTCACTATTGCCCTATCTTGGTGAATGACACTATAATAGTTTACCCCCCTAGAGAAGTTTGTACCACCAAGAGTGTCTCTTAAATGTTAAGTTTTTGCCAAAATTCTAATGTCTGTACCCTTTCCAGTCATTGTTTTGTATTAGTTGCTATCACCACAATGAGTGCTTTACATAGACCAGTTAATTTGCATCCATGATAAAGCAGCTAACAGAGCCACAAATTATCTTGTACAGTGTACGCAGATCCTCAACCCTAAGACTCATTCACCAGATGCCCTAGTGTGATGGAATTTCAAAGCCTATTTGAGAAAATATACCAAAATAAGCAAATCTTAAATCAATGGCAACCTTCCACTAATAAACATTAATATGTTTTAGGCACTCCATTTGGTTTTATATACAAATATTTTTTGAAAACTTAGACAATACAGAGCATAGTCTACACTCAAGCCACACTTCAGAACTGAAGATTTCTTCTGCATCCTTTATTTGTGAGCAACTGCATGGATTTGGCTGCAGAATTAGGTCCTCCCTTTATAAATGGGATGAGTAATAGTCTGAGAATTTTAGGTCTATATATTCAAATTTAATCACTACTCCTATCTTTGAAGAAAGTAGCTCCATGGCTGGTGGTAATTAATAAATGAAAACGCTAAGGACTTCTATCACCCTTTCACTGCTGCTCCAAAGTTTCAATAATGTCTTTATAATCCAAAGTAAGTCCACAAAGAGCATAGGAAATGCATCTCTAAATTCTCATTGTCTCTGGTGCCCTTGTTCCTTTCAGACAGTTGGTGTGGCTTGCTTTCAACAAGAGGAAGAAACTGGACCAGTCTGCAGGAGTGTATTGAAGGACAGGAGAACTAACTTATCAAATACTCTCTTGTCATTCAATCAAATAACTAGAGCATTGCCCAATAAATTAGGGGGAGACAGTGTGGTCTAGTGGCCTGAACATAGGGCTGGAAGACAGGAACTTGTTTTCAACCTTGATCTGCTAATAGCTTGGGACATGAGTCTGTTTCACCCTCTTTAAAATGGGCATAATACCTCTTCCAGGTAGTGAGGACAATTTGTAATGCAATTTTAAACAATACTATAGAAGTTTAGGAATATGAATTCAAGATTTCTTCCCCTGCCTCTCAAACTAACTAGGTAAAATCCAACTGATTTAAGGGGAAATTGTTTTGCTAAAATATTTGTTTTTAAAATTATCAGTTTCTTTACCACCCCAAATGGAGGAAGAAAGAAAGCAAAAACATCTGTTTGTCCATGTCCCCTTCAAGCATTTGCAAAAAGCAGAGCACCATGAAGGTGCTCTAGGTCAACTGGCTGATCATAAGACTCACAGTTCTAAATTCAATAAGTTAAATCTTCCTAAATTTTCCTTGCTCAGGTGCGGTTGAGTGGGATTACTTCCGACATCTCTGTATTTTTATTCTAAATCTCACCTCAGTTTAACTCTTCTATAAACCCTAGCACCAGTTCACATTAAATCTCTGGATGACGTGTTAATGCTGTAATCCCACTCATACTTACTGTACCGTGTCAGTTGCCCACTCAAATACCCTCACTCAACCTCCTCTAATTAGCTGAGCTAGTGGCTTTACCACCCACACGGGCAAATAGGTTGGGAGTAAGGGGGTGGTTTTGTGTATCTTCTCAAAATCCAGTAAGGGAATAGCTTTGTCACTTCCAAAGTCTCAGGACCTCTACTGAGATTGCTCCAATTTTTCTAGCAGTTCCATCCTACCAGCTTTGAGGAGTTTAGGGATCTTTGTGTTTTATAATGTTAATCAATTATTTTCCCAATATATCTAGTGGCTTTATGACCATATGAGAATCCTGTTTAAAAACTGTCCTAGTTTTCAATACACTGCATCTTGCCTTGTCTCTCCTCCCAACTCGTCTAGACTGAGTCCTCTCTCTGTTGTCCTAATTTGCCTGTTGCTACACGTGCTTTCTCTGAAGCTCACCTTAAACAACCTCCCTGTATCCAGCTCATTTCAAATCACACCTGAGAATCTTTAATTTGTGTTATATTTGTATCTTTTCACTTTCTCTGTCCAACTCTTCACCTATTGTAGACAATTAAGTGACTTAAGTAGTTGGTCATCTAAGGCTCACAAAGTGAATGAGACTTAAGTGCTTGTCACTTTTGAAAACTCTTCCCATCTAATGCTGTCCAAATATAATTCAGTAATGCATTTTGTGATATATTGGGATAGAAAGTGGTATCAATTAGCTTACTATTGATTGACAAAGCTACCATTATCCAAGCTGTGGAGCACAATACAAATGAGCTGTTTATTGTCCAAGAGATGGAGTTTAACCCATAACTAGGGACACTAAATGGTTAAAATAGGGGTACACCTAGGGCAATTGTTTTAGGCAGACTGCTGGTTTGATGTGGCATGTGCTTCCTGTGTGCCTATATACACACACAAGTAGCCAAGTGTCATGTTATCAGATACAATAATTGTATTGACTCCGTAGAAATTAATTATAAGTTACTGATGTGCATAGGTGTTCTAAAGGGAAATAGGATTTCTGCCCCAATCAAAGAGAGCTTTCAAATTAGCTCTGAATAGTAAACCAGTGAGAGACTGCTATGGGGTTTAGAAAGTGGGATGTGAGAGAGAATAGTGGTGGGGAGAGTATGTGCTCTGACAGGGCATTGTCCTTCCCATTGTAGCTACTACTGCTTTTACAGAAGGGTATAGTTTTAAATGGCCCAATTTGAAGGAAGGGGGTCTGGCTGAGCTCTTCCCTTGTCTTCAGTAATCACTCATACTCCTTTTTTCCCATGGGTTTGTGGTCTGAACTAAAGTTGTCTAGATTTTCCTCTGACGGTGGCTGCCTCAGAAGACTAGTCTAAATGAGGGGTTTTCAAACTGTGGGTCACGACCCAGTACTGGATCATGGAATGAAAGGCACTGGGTCACGGCGGCTCTGGTCGGCACTGCTGACCCGGCTGTTAAAAGTCCTGTCCGCAGTGCCGCCCGGCTAAGGCAGGCTAGTCCCTACCTGTTTCGACACGGTGCTGCGGCCCGGAAGCAGCCAGCAGCAGGTCCACAGGCGATAGGTCACAGGATGATTCCCTGTTCTGTTCATTCCCTCTGGGGCACCTGGCATTGGCCGCTGTCGGCAGACAGGACCCTGGGCTGGATGGGCCTTTGGTCTGACCCAGTCAGGCGGTTCTGACGTTCTTGAAGGCAGCAGTTGCGCTGTGGGTTTTGGTGAGTGGGCCGGGCCAGAGGGCGGGTGGCCCTTGCCCTGAGGAGGGGAAGCGGCGGGTGGGCCTTGCCCTCGCCCTGAGGAGGGGAAGCGGCGGATGGGCCTTGCCCTGAGGAGGGGAAGCGGTGGGTGGGCCTTGCCCTTGCCCTGAGGAGGGGAAGCGGCGGATGGGCCTTGCCCTTGCCCTGAGGAGGGGAAGCGGTGGGTGGGCCTTGCCCTCGCCCTGAGGAGGGGAAGCGGCGGGTGGGCCTTGCCCTGAGGAGGGGAAGCGGCCGGCGGGCTGTAGTGGTGGGGATGGCGGCAGGGGCTGGGAAGAGCCCAGCTCTGGGCATGGGGCAGCAAGGGGGCCCGAGGAGGGGGGAGCGAGGCCCGCCCTGTCCCATGGATGCTATTCCGGGCTTCCATAGCATGATGCCAACTTTTCCCAGCCTAGCGCTAAAGACTTCCCACAGCCGGTGAAAAACTCCCAGGCGACGGTTTTGACAGGGCTGCTGTCTCCTGGGCAATGCCCCAAACCTGGGACTCGGTGTCAAGGTGGGAAACCGGGAATTTTAATTCAAAACATTTTACTCTCAAATTCCCAGAGTTTGGGACGTTGCCCGGGAGACAGAAGCACTGATGCTATGGGGCACGTGACCCTTTGCGGCCCCGCCCCCTCACCTCAGCCGGGGTTTCCAGTCTCCGCCCACACGGCGTAGGGCAGGCGCAGCATCCCCCCCCCAGCGCGCATGCTCCCGGCCCGAGGGGGCGGGCTTGTATCCCCTCAGGGTGTCCGCGCGGAGGCGACCGTCAGAAGGGGGCGTGGTTTCCTGTGCGGCGCAGGCGAAGCAGCAGGTTTCCGGGGGCGTGGCCCCGGCATGAGGCATCTACCTTGAGGGCGCAAGCGTGGGAGCCTGCAACGGTCTGGTGGGGCGGCGGTGGGCGTGGCCCCGCGAGTGGGCGGGGCCCCGACCCGAGCGCCGCCCTGGCCCGTTGGCTGCTGCCGGCGGGGGGAGGCGGAAGATGGCGGCGGCCGCGGCGGCGCTGCTCTCGGCCTGGTTCTGGAACGAGCGCTTCTGGCTGCCGCACAACGTCACCTGGGCGGACTTGGCGGGGGAGCCGGGCCCGGAGGGCGGCAGCGGCACCCAGTACCCCCAGGCCGGGCACGTCCTCTCCGCCTTCCCGCTCGCGCTGGGCATCTTCGCCGTCAGGCTGCTGTTCGAGAGGTGAGAGCGCGGCCCGGGTCCGCCACGGCCCCCCGGGGTCCGCCACGGCCCCTCGACCGGTCCGGGCACAGGGCCGGGCAGCCCCAGGGCACCCCCCGGACTGACCGGGGACCGGGACTGAGGAGCCT